ATTTTTTTGAAAATATCGACCTATTTGGGGGAGGTATCAAAGGGAGTGGACCGATATTGCCCATCTCCAAACTCGGTCTAAGTTTGAGAATAATATTACATGGTACCAGCAGTGCGATTCTCTAACTACAGGTTTCTATACAGTCAAATTTGAAAAGGACGGAAAAGGCAAAGATGGATATGCTTGTTTGAAATGACTTTTCGTTCTGAATTCTACCATGGTTATAAGAGGACTAAACCAAAAAATGGACCTTTATTAAATATTTTTTTCGAGGAGCTAAAATACTGAGAACCCCAATTGGTAAATTCCATTCAATGAAAAACAATTGGCCTTCTGTATTCGAAATTATCGATATTAATAATACATTTGCAAAAGCTAAAAGAAGTCAATGTTGTTTTTTTCCTTTTTTTTGTATTTCAAAATTGAATTATTTAAAAACAATATTAATAGCCTGTCATGATTTAAGCTAGCAAAATCAATATCATTAACCTCTTGGAAATGATGCTGAAAGATAAACACTTGAGCCGAACACTGCTTGCCGGCTGCCCGCATACGAGCGACTCAAGTGATTGTTGATCTCACTTCCTTCCTTGGTTTGTTTTTGTTTTGAATTGGAGTTCACTTAACCAAAAAAAGACGAAAAAATATAAGAAACGGAAGTTTACCGAAGATACGATAAGGAAAATATGGACTTTTATCAGCAGTATACTCGCTCTTACCACCACCGCCAACACCACCAACCAACATGCTCTGGTTGATTGAACTTTGATCACATGCGAGGGTTGTTTCATAAGATACATATGCAACAAATAGTTATTTCAGATTTTTTTTCTAATTTCTTGCTAATTGAAGCTTTCCTAATTTTTGTAACAAATAGTTTTAAATGTTTTGAGCTTACTGTTAAAAAAGGGATAAAATCCTATCTTACGTTTCTTTGTAAGAAAATTCACAGAATAATTCCATCCGATTTATTTACACTTTTTATCCAAAAATTATTGACATACTTTCAAATAATTTTGCTACGCCAAAACCAAATGCTGGGGAAGTACTCGTACCAACACCATCAAAAAATATCAACTACGAAATTGAAATTAGCATTAATTTATTATAAAAAATAAAATAAAACAGCAATTACTAAGAAATCCATAAGATGAAAACAAAGAACTCAGACGATATCGAATTTTTGAATTTCAAAACAAAAAACGGGTTTCTTAAGAACGTTATCGATCAATCAAGTAGTATATGGAAACAAAAAAAAAAAACAAATAAGAAATGGCAATAGTCAGCGGCAAAGATGTTAAGATACCGCACCGTATTCACACTATAAAATTTTTAATATATTTATTTTGTTATTATGTATGTAGCCCCCCGAAATAGGAGTTTTTATTTTGATCTCTAACAGCTACTGTTGGAAATCCTAAAAACTTTCACCCAGACCCATTACATGGGAATTTTGTTGAAACCCCTACAAAGGGTCAAAAAGGACACACTTATTTGAGGTTCCACCAAATATAGCAGATCTATATAGAAAAATTTATTTTCTGTGAAACTGACTTGTCAAATTAGAGTTTATCATCGATATCTTTAAAATACCTAAATTCAGGAAGTGTGGAAAACATTTGCTAAAATCATTGAACCTTTATGGTGAAAATCGATGCCACTGGGAACCCTAATTGTTACAAAGCAACTGATTCGGTTAAGAAATAAGTAAGAAAATGAGGAGAGCACCTTCAAAACACCATTATTTAGTGTAAATAATTATAAGGTTGGAGTAAGAAATCTCGCTCGAATTTGTACAAAGAGTGAAACTCACTCGAATTCGAGCGAGTGCTCTACTGGAAGATGAAAAAAGTCGAGCAGATTCAATTGTTTAATATCGCTTGAAGATGAGTGAGCATATTTTCCTCACTTTTAAGTGGAAGCAAAATTCGTTCAAAATCGAGCAGATTCTGCTCTTGCCGACCACACGTTTAGTTTTTATCGTACCTTTGTTGTTTTTATACCCTCCTTCGTAATTCCGTTCGTAACCCATCGTAATAATTATTTTAAACCTAACAAAGTATATATATTCTTGATCAGTGTAAAATTCTTCCTTCCATCCGTCCGTCTGTTGTAATCACGCTAGAGTCAAGACGAATTAAGATAGGAAGCTAAAATTTTGCACAGATCAGTCTTTATATATGCAGGCAAGTCAATTTCGAAGATGAGCTATGTTGGTCCATGATATCGTATATCCCCCCTATAGCGGTACGCCCCCTCCCCTTATTCGGTATTTTTTATGATTTTAGCCACAATTTTCAATGGAATTGTTTAAAATACTACACAAGGAGTTCTTTGTGAGTACTTTACCACCTGAAGGAGAATTATCTCTATATGTCCGCGATATCATGTATGCCCCATATAATGTCCCCTTCCGATATTCGGTATGTTGATGATTTAAGCCGAAGTTTTCAATGGAATTGTCTGAAAATCCACACAAGGTGTTCCTAGTGAGAACTTTACCGCCTGAAAGTGAATAGGTCTCCGATATAACGGCACCTTCCGATATTCGGTTTTTGATGATTTTAGCCACATTTTTCAATAGAATTGTCTGAAAACCCCTACAAGGAGTTCCTTGTGAGTATTTTATCCTCGGGAAGAGAAGTATCTATATAGGTCCACGATACCGTATACCCACAATATAACGGTACCCCCGATATTCGGTATTTTGATGATTTTTGCGACATTATTCACCGGAATTGTTTCAAATTTCGTATACAAAGTTCGGAATCGTTACTACAGCCTGTGACACAAATTACTTTTACTTTTCGGGTTTCTTCCAAATGGTGGAGTTCTGTTCGGCCGAACTTAGCTGTTTTTTTGTAGTTCGTAAAAGGCGCCACCTTCTGTGGCAAAAATAATTGTCCTCTAGATATTCGGTATTTTGATGATTTGTGACGCACTTTCCACCGGAATTGTTTCAAATTTAGTATTTGAAGTTTGTAATAGTTACAACCCCCTACGACAGACAATTGCATATACAAATTCACGTCTTCGTATAGCCCCATATAACGGGACCTCCCAATATTCGTTATTTTGATTATTTTAGTTATGCTTTTCAACAAAATTATGTTAAATATGTAAGGCCGCATCGGACTTAAAGGAGCAGGTACATAAAAAGCTTGAAGTCATGGCTAGGCATATTAATGTCAAATTATAAAGGAAAACGACGGCAGGATTCTAGTGAGGCTCTGTAATTCCTTTATGAAATGTCACAAAAGATGCCCAGCCATGACTTCAAGCTTCTTATGTACTTGCGCCCTAACTGCTTTTTACTTGTTCATACTCAATTAGGCTTTTCAGGTGACATTCGTATAACCTACTACCAACAAATTTGCATGTGGTTGTTGTTCTAAATTGTTTATACCCTTATGCCATGATTTTCCCTTTTAAAAGTTTCAATTGACATATCATTCCTTTATAAAAGTTTAATTCGGTCCAAAATATAAAACATAGTTTCGTTTAAATATTTATGCAACTTTTGCAGAGGTATGTATTTTTACCCTGATTCAGAGAAAGAATTTTTGCCTATCCAACAAGTGGTCACATGATTTGGTTATTTATATTATTTTTTTGGACCCGGATTTTTTATAAAACCCTCCAAAAATCGAAAAAGGGTCCATTGTGGGGGATCTCCGACCTTTCCAAAATGCTACAATTTGTGTCAATACCCTTTTCGGTTAGCTGTATAACTAAAACTAGATTTTTGTTAAATTCGGTTGGTCAAAATTATTGTTCAACAGCTGTCAATATAAGTAGCCGGCCTTCAGACGGGGCTTGAGATTTTCTCCTCTCCTCCACACCGGCTAGCGCGAACCAAATTTGATACTTTTGGAAGTCCAACGCCGGCTACACGAAACATTTTTTTATTGAAAACATAATAATAAGAAGCGGGTTATGCGGGTGGAAAGGTCCATATTTCAGAACCCAGAACAGGTATTAGCACAAATTGTAGCATTTTGGAAAGGCAGGAATGTCAGATATAATTTGGCGTCAATTTTGTTGATCCCCATAATCAGCCTTTTTTTGACTTTTTGGGGCATTTATAAAAGTTCCGGGTCCAACAAATCGCTAATTTTACTATAACTTCCGAACTGATTCAAATACCCATCATGTAAACACTTGTTTCCGACAATACCTATTTTATCTATATCGGGTTAGTGGATTCGGATTTAGCCCGGGTCTTGAACCCGGACTTTCGGGTAAAAAATTGGGGTCCCGAGTCCGTCCCCCAAGATAGTTTACCGGAATCAGGGTAAAAATTCCTACCACGGGAAAAAATTTCAAAAATTGAAGAGTTTTTACTAAACAAGGGTTAAGTCCAATTCTATAGGTCGTTTCGATCATCACTCGTCGTGGTAAAAATGTTGATATTTAATCAAGACGTTATTTCTTTTATCCTAGACCTGTTGTCCCAGTGACAAATTCTAGCTATCCTCCCAACATATTTCTGTAAGTGTAATTATGTTAAATTGGAATTTCTTTTACGAAGCTTCTTCTTCTTCTTTTTCTCGATTGTAGGTACTCCTCTATTCACTTCATTGGTTTTGCTTGCATGTCGTTTGCCTCTAAAAATAAAATAACAGACCGGTCGATTGATCGTTCGTTCGAACGTCCGCCCGTCTGTCAGATGATCAGCCACCTAACTGCATGCCGTACTTTCTAGTTTCAGGTGTAGTTTTTTAAATGTCGATTTTTTTAAGAAATAGAAAAAAATTAGAAAAAAAACTTTAATGCGCACGACTGGAGATGAGAAACAGAATTCGAGAACAAATTATTGAGATTTTTACAATAAACAATTGTTGTTGCTTTTTTGCCATGAAGCTGGTGATGATGATGATGCAAACGACATTTTTAAGGTGTGTTGCTGCCGCTTAGAACGATGATATACAAAATGTGGCGAGATAAGCCAGCAATCCTTTGCTTCAGGTAGGTAACCTAACACAACTTACTTCACTTACTTTTAAAGGTGAATTGGGTATTTTTTATTTGTCAGCCGAATATATTTCAGTTTTGCGTTGTTTTCAAGCCTTCTGGTATTTTTACCAAAATTGGAGATTTCAGCTTTCCTTTTATTGTTCGTTTGCTCGTTTAACTTGCCGGATTGATCTTGACCAAAAAACGAAAAAAAAAAATCATATGATTTTGACAAAACCACAATTAACTATTTTTGTTTTTTTTTTTTTATTTCTTCGGTAAATTAATTATTTTTATTTCTTGCTTTTTTAATTTATTTTTCAACTGTTTCTTGGCGATCTACACACACTTTTTATTAACACCACGAACACGACGAACAATGGCTAATGAACGGGCGAAAACAAAGAAACATGAACGAGAAGAGAGTTTAGATCAATCGATCGATTCACTTGAATAGACAGACAAACTGTTTGACTGACTGACTGACTGATTGAATACGTTTCCACCACCACAACACTCAACGAAGCACGGCTCAATGAAAACTGAGAAGTCAAGAGAAAATCCACAATGCAGTTTGCGTTAAAAACAAATCATAAAATGTTTAATTTAACGGCGTCATATTTACGTTAGTGGCGGCTAAACTCAGTCTCAACCTGTTGAATGTATTAGTCCACCCATAAAATATCAAAAACAAAAAGACGACGAAGAAAAAACAAAACTAACTCCGCTCAATGTTGCATTAACACTGACCGACGATGATGACGAACGAACAGCTGCTAACTGGAGACTAAACAAAAGCCAAGCTTTAAAATTCACAAGAAAACGAACAACAAAAACAACAGCAACTTGCATTGAGAAACCCCGTCGGCACACTCATTCATTGCACACACAAACACTTACACCCAAAGAGAAACTTAGAAAGATTCAACAAAGTGAGAGAGAGAGAGGGAAATACTCAATAAAAAAAAAAAACTTGATTGTCAAGCTTTGCTTGACGCGACCAACGGCATACACTGTGTAGATCGTTCGTAATGGCTGTGATATTGGTTGACTGGCACCGATCTCGCCAATCCACCACACAACAATAACAAACAATACACATTTCAACGAGACGACATTTAGCGGCACTAGCAGCATTTACGACGATCGAAAAAGACGTAATAACAACAATAGTTATAGCAGCACCAGCAAAATGTGCGAAATTTAAACCAAGTGGAGCTTTAAGAGGTCAGGCGTATAGTACATTTTAGTGGGTGGAAATTAGAAATCCGACAAGAAACAGCTAATTCTACCATATCGGCTTGGCCCGAAACTTCGACATTCCAGTTTTGACAATCCTTAAATCATGGCAGAATTTAAAAGGCAATCTCATGAGTGAAATCGGAAAGTGGAAAGGAGGGTTCCGTTTGTAACACCACTAAATATTCGTCGTAGACCCCATAAAGTATGCATATTCATAATCGGCACAAAATTTCTAAAACGATTTAACAGTTTACCCCACATAACGGTACCTCCATATGTTCGGTATTTTTATGCTTTTAGTCACATTTTTCCACCGATTTGTCAAAAATTAGCATTTGTGATTCGTAATGGGTTCTCTGGTGACGGGGCATTGGCATGTATATTCGTTTGAATTTAAATACTTTTACATAAAAGTGTTTTCCCTAGCTAATTGTGGAGGGTATTAAAAGTTCGACACGACTGAACTCCTTTATTTCTAATTGTTTATAATGAAACTCATCATATATTTTAAAAAAATATTTCTAAAATTATTGCTTAAACTATTTAACCAAAAACGGCATGTTTTTTACTGGTTCAAAATTTTCCTCTACCTTAACATACCTATGTCAAGTCTGTAGATTTCTTATTCTTCAGAAAATTTACTTTTAAAGTTGGATACAAGCACAAGTTTAAAATCATAACTAACCAAATTGCCAATGAGGCAATAACTCAAAAGAATTCCAGAAGTTATAAGTAAGACGTATGTGGAAACTTTGAGTAAAATCATTTCAGTTATCCAAATTCAAAAAGAGTTCATATTTCGATGCCAAAGCCAAACTCGTATTAAAGTATTAATAATTAATATTTTGTATGCATTCCTTTATTTTTTACATTTGTAGCCTATTTGGTATACTTTTAACACGTTTTTCGCAAAAACTAGGTTCAATTTTTGTCATTCTTCCAACATAGCTTTTTTCAAATCTTCTTTGCAAGATATGGTGTCCATTGAGAGAGAGATTTTACTACGGGGGTTATGTCTGGACTCTGGGCTGATGTATTCATGACGTGGGGACAATTATATAGCAGCCATGATCGCACTTAATAACCCTCGTGTTTTGAATCATTGTCTTGATAAAAATAATAATCTAAGCCAAGGCTGAACTTTCCCTTACAGAGTGCCACACTTTGTTACAAAATGTTAAGGTACATACTCTAATCGATAAAAATACTTTCAATAAAATGCAATACACCACGTCCATGAACCCCATACCATTACTGACCCAACACCGTGCTTCACTGTAGGCTTCATGTTTTTGGCAAGGGGCGCTTCATTTGCCTTTCTCCATACATAAGGTTTGGCATCTGAACCAAAAAGGTTAAATTTGCCCTCGTCCGTGAACAACACATTGTTCCAAATGAAAAATCTTTTGATATGTGCTCCTTGGCAAATCGCAATCTAACTTCTTGATTCCGCTTGCTGATTAGAGGTTAATGTCTAGCTCTCCTTCCATTTAATTCGACTTATGCAGTATATTTCTTATTGTTTGAAGGTAACATAGTTTTCTCAAATCCATTTCAGCAATTTTTGCGAGATTTAGTGCACTCAAAAATGGATCCTTTTTGATTTGCCGTAAAATATACTTCTCATCACTCAAGGTAAATATTTTATTATTTGACGTTTTTGACTAATTTTCGACATATTCATCTGTTTTAAACCGTTTGATGATGTACTGAACTGTGTACTGATCGGCTTCTATTAACAATCTCAGATATCTCATTTAGCGATTTATGGTTTTTGTAATGTTTACTTACTAAATTTCTCGCTTCAACAGTGGTTCGTCCTCGTTGTCCTCTCAATGTTTTTTTCTTTTTTTAATATTTGCGTCAGTAAATGACACAACACGTGGAAATTTGTGATAAATTAGCTTTTAGAGACTTCCCCAAATACATTTTCCAATAATCGCGTGAAGTTGGACGCAGTTCAAAACAGGGTTGCCGTATAAATGTAAGCCGTACAAGTTTAGCTTTTGCATAGAAATTTGGTGAGTTTTAGAATATATGCCATTAAAACGTAAACTTTGGTTCTATAGCTAGTTCTAAAACCTTATACACTAATAAAAAATATAGATTTTTTCTAGTAGTGAATTTGATAACAATCGTCTATTGCATGAAAGAAAATTGTTTGCTAACTGTACGAGTTTCGCTTGGAGCTTCTGTAGTTACATATTTTATACAACTCTTCTCGTCAAAGTCGTCATCTAACACGAATCCTTGGTTCTGTGTGTTCCTTCTTTTAAGTATCCACCGAAATTGCATGCAATAATATTCTAAAAATTGTTAATTCTGGTACCGTGAGATGTTGGAGCCTTTTTTTTGCAACATTCTGGCTTGTTTTATGAGTGTTAGGAGCGTATTATAGCTTGTATTCCACAACTAAGATGCCGCTCTAACCTCTTCTTCTCATCATTACTTTTATTTTGGCACATAAAACACTTTATGCAACCAATTATATGTTTTTATTTGTGATTTTGGATTACGTAATTGTCAAATGGCAATTAACATCAAAATTTTGTAATTATTATTAACTGCGAGGCACACTTTCGGGAAACCCAAAAGTAAACAAAAGACAGATATGAGTCAGTTTTGAACATCAAATTAATGCCACAGGGCCGGATAGCATTATGCACAAATTATAAAAGGTTCGGATAACGTGATCAGCCTATGGTCAGTGTGTCTATGAAGAATTAAATTTTAAATAGATTTTCATCCATAATTTTAAAAAGTGCAATGTTTTATGCTTTGCTGAATGGAGTAAATAAAAAGGTTTGGCAAGAACGGATACAATTCCAAGCAAAATTTTTATGACATTTCTACATCCAGAACATTAAATACTTTTCCACAAAAAGAGCGGCTTTCTTCTACAGGAACCACAGTCCCAACAAATTACATACTCAAATACAATCTTCTATGTTACTCAATCTCAGTGTGGCACTCATTTAACACAAAGAAAACTTCGCTCTCTCTCTCTCTCTATCGTTTCAATGTTCTCACTTACTCTTTTGATTTGTTGTTTTAATGACGACTGGTGTAATTTGTATCGGTTGCTTTGTTAACCACCACAGACGACTGACTGCCTTGATAGATGAGGCCTTTGTCTGCCGTTTTTTTTTCTTGTTGTTGGTGGGGAGATGGAAATTTTGATAATTTTGTTAATTTTATGAATGTAATTTTTGCTTTTCTCTAAACTGTTTCACAATCAAATTTTTGTTTCAAATAAATTTAGTTTCAATGTCTTTTTGCACTCGTTATTCTTTGCTGAAATTTTCTTGTTTGGATTTTTTTGGAGAAGAAAAACCAGTTATCTTTTGTATTTCTTCTTGAACCTTTTTTTCCTCTTCTTCTTTAATTGTTGTAATTGTAATGGTCTTTGCACTTTTTTCAATTCGATTCATGAATCACAGAAAAAATAAAAACACCAACAACGCATAACGAGAAATATCACGATAGGTAGCAACGGCAACAACACCAACAATGAGACAGAAAAACCAAAAAAAAAACCTTTACAACTGGTGGTTTTCTATGGAGGTTTTGGGTCTCTTTTTTTCTTTCTATGCGCGAACCAGACTCAAAGCAAAGCTGAATGAATGATCACCGCTACCGTCCAAAACGAGACTAAATTGTGTTGGGTCTTTGGAGTTTTCAGTTTCTGTGGCCTTTTTGTGTTGTTCATGAAAACTGATGATGCTGCTGCTGGCGCTGCCATCGTCGTCGGCAATGCTGTACTCTCCTCTGCCAGGTTGAAACTAGTAACGTCGCCTAGATATTTGGGTTTTTTCACTATGTTATTGGGGGAAGGGTGATATTATCATTTTAGGGGGAGGCAAACAAACGTATCTAGTTAACTAATACACTAGAGAATGAGAGCCACTCGTAGAGTGTATGTTGGTCAAGAAAAGCAGCGAGAAGAAGGCATCTGCTATTCAGTAGTTTAAGCTGCAAGAAAAAAGATTTAAGTGTCATGCTATATTTAAAGTTTTTTTTTTTAACTTTTGAACAACAAACTAGGATTAGAATTTGGGTTGTTCTAATCCAGAAAATGTTAGGCTTAAAGACAACTTCCGCCAATATTGCAACCTACCTCGAATCGTTGTTCCGACCCAGCAATATAAGCCAAAGTCTTATTTTCCACCATTGAAAAAATCTTTTATATTTCTTATTCTCTTTCTCTTTACAGTTAATAAGGTGTGCATACATACATACATTATCGTATATGGTTGCCAAGTATTTCATCCATCATTCCCAAACCAAACCTGGGTACCATGCCATCTGTAGGCAAGCTTTATACCACATAGGGATAGTCCATGGACAAATCCAGGCTGAAGGAAAATTATAAACTGAGATGAACTTCAATCTCGACCCGAAATTCAGTGATAGATAGCATCTTAGAATCCTAATCAGCTGACAAAGCACATAAAACCATTGTTGAAGTTCTAAAAGATGGCGAAATAGATCATATCGCCTGAAGAACAGCACATTGTAAAGCCCCCAATGAAGGAAGAGAGAATCGAGGCATCAAATATTTTTCGCAAAACGCGTCGAGAGCCACGTTGAGGAAATTACCCCAATAATTCTTACATAGATCGACAAAGTGATACAAAAAATACATATTGTCACAGAAACTTCGGCTCTCTATTCATCAGAAGCTTCGTGTAGCGGATCCACAGGAGCTTCAACTCGCTGTTCAGCAGGAGATTCGGCTTACTGTAAAGGAGCTTCGACTCTCTTTTCCACCGTAACATGACGCCACAAACTGATCTGTGTAAGCCACCAGATCGCCGATACAACGAGTTTCGGTCATCTACTACTCATACACAGTTAAAAACCGGCCGGACACTTTACGTCAGAGTTCCCGATTTAAGAGCCAGAGTTCTTATTTTATATACTATTGAAGATTAACCCACAAACGAAATGAAGAATTCGCCATACCCGCCATACTATGTGTGGGGGAGGGTATAAAAATAGTACGCAATCCGTAAAGTTTGGGGACATTTCTATGAACCAACGTAAAAGGAAGTAGGAAGTAGAACCCATATCAGCAACTTTGATGTAAAAGTCACCCAATAGTTATCATTACATATTACCGTTCTTTGTGGCTACCCTGGTCATTCATGTGTGATAATCAAGCTACTCTATCTCTCAGCAAAAACAAAAAATATTTTATTATTTTGTTGATCAATTTTGAGCGAAAAAAGTGAAATTGAAATAATACCAAAAGAAGTACTGCATACATACAAACAAACATATACGTATGTTTACATGTACATTTACGTTTAGGTACCATACCGTACCATACAGTAGTTAAATAATTGCCATGTTCAATTACAATGAACAACGACGACCAAAGTGGGAGACTGTGAAATTAAAATTGAACAGCAGAGAGAAAGAGCGAGAAAAAGACTCTACCGAAAATCATAACAAATGTATGATGAGATTTGGGAAGAGAATATTATAATGGATGTTAACTAGGTGAGAATCTTGTTGCGATTTTTAGCGGCATATGAGCTTACATGTTGTGAGCATACTTTCCTCTTTGTCTTTTAATTATTGCCACTTCCCCAGTAGTTGCGATTTTCTAGAGCCACCTGTTCATGGATCTATTAATAATTTGAACATGAGTTTTGTTTCTCTGAGATTGTTGCTGCTGATGCGAGAGTTGTTTTTTTGTCAAACATGCTGTAATTGTTCAACAACTACAACAACGATAACTGTTTGGGGGCCAAATAGAGGATACTTGTATGTACTTGCTTTTATACACACAGACGTTCATCGGCATAAGCATATATACATATTTGAGTATGGTTTTATAAATTTCTTCAGCTTGCAACTCAACTCAAGTTGTGGTGAAAAAAGAAGAGAAAAAAAAATTAATCGTTGTACCCAATATGCGTAACATTTCCTCTTGTTGGTGTTTACCTTTTTCCTATCATTCTTCAATCTTGTTTTACAACTCGTTTACGGTTAGACAAATACATCACGTTTTATGCATTTGAAAATGTATGAAATGATGTTTTTTTTTCTTTGTTGGACGTGATTTCTTTTTGTCATAGATCCATCAACATTTCAGGAGGGGGTTATCCACATGTATTCACATGCATTCATATGTTTCCACGTCTCTATATGAATATCAGTTGGTTTTCTATTAAAGGTTTCTTGATCTTCATAAAATAGAGAGGCAATAGGAATTTTGTGTAAGAATACCGCTCCAATATCCATAATACGAGATCTCTTAGTCTTACTTAATATGTGCTTTTGGTCTACTATGAAAATATGAGTCACCTACACTTTGCGTTGCATTAAAAGACTTTAATATGAATTAACTCTAATTACTAGATTGGAATATATGACCAAGATCCTTGCCATAACTAATATAAGGGGTGAACCTATATTGATAAAAGGTGAACATTGATAATTGTGTGTAATTAGCGTCCTTACACTCTCCACCTACGTCGAAATTAAGAACGTAAATCATTTCAAAAAAGCATGTCCATCTCTGAATTTTCTGTAATTTATCTTGTCAAATTTCATTGAATCAAAAACAGTATCCATGTCTGATTTTTATACCCTCCACCAAAAAAGTATGGAGGGTATATTAAGTTCGTCATTTCGTTTGAAACTCATCGAAATAATCATTTTAGACCCAACAACGTATATATATATTCTTGATCAGCGTAAAATTCTAAGACGATTCAGCCCCGTCCGTCTGTCCGTCCGTCCGTCTGTTGTAATCACGCTACAGTCTAAACGAATTAAGATAGGGAGCTAAAATTTTGCTCAGATCTCTCTTTTGTCTGCAGGCAGGTCAAGTTCGAAGATGGGGTATATCGGTCCACGATATCGTATAGCCCCCATATAACGGTACCCCCGATATTTGGTATTTTGATGATTTTATCCACACTTTTCAATGGAATTGTCTAAAATTCCACAAAAGGAGTCCCTTGTGGGCATTTTATCCCCTCAAAAAGAATTGTCTATATAGGTCCACAATATCTATTATCCCCCATATAACTGTACCCCCCGATATTCGGTATTTTGGTGATGCTAGCCACATTTTTCAATGGAATTGTCTTAAAATCCACACAAGTAGTTCCTTGTGAGTACTTTACCCCTGAGAGAGAATTGTCTATACAGGTCCACGATATCGAATATCCCCCATATATCGGTACCCCCCGATATTCGGTATTTTGATGATTTTACCCACATTTTTCAACGGAATTGTCTGAAAATCCACACAAGGAGTTCCTTGTGGGTACTTTATACCTCGACAGAGAATTATCTTTATAGGTCCACGATATCGTATAGCCCCCATATAACGGTACCCCCGTTATTCGGTATTTTGATGATTTTAGCTGCATATTCCAATGGTATTCTCTGAAAATCCACCGATATTAGGTATTTTAAAGATTTTAACAGAATTTTCAATGGATTTTATTTTTTGAATATTTTCTAATTCGTTCCAAATGTTATTCGCTCCACCATAGTATGGAGGGTACAAAGTATATGTATTCTTTTCGATTCTATGTCGATTTAGCGGTGTGCGTCTGTCTGTCCGTCTGTGGAAATCATTCTAGCTTCCGAACGAAATGAAGTAGGTTGATAAAATTGTACTCAAATGTATATTATGTCTGCAGGACTTTTGATATTGAAAATGGGCTATGTAGGTCCACGTTTTGGTATAGCCCCCATATAATGGTACCTCCCTATTTTCCGTATTTTGGTGATTTAAGCGACATTATTCACTGGAAATGTTTCAAATTTTGTATTTCAAGTTCATTATGGATATTACAGCCTATGATACAAAATTGTCCTTGCATGTCAACGTCTTCGTAAAGGGCTCCATATAAGGGAACCTCCCGATATTCGGTATTTTGATGATTTTAGCGACATTATTTACCGGAATTGTTTTAAATTTGGTATTTGAAATTCGTAATGGATATTACAACTCAAGACAGAAAATTGTATGTGCAGGTCCACATCTTCGTAAAGGGCCCCATATAACGGTACCTCCCGTTATTCGGTATTTTGATGATTTTAGCGACATTATTCACCGGAATTGTTTCAAATTTGGTATTTGAAATTCGAAATGGATTCTACAGCCTATGACAGAAAATTTTCTGTGCAGGTCCATGTTTTCGTATAGGCCCCATATAACGGTACCTCCCAATTGTTTGATTGTTTTATTTACATTTTTTACGTATTGGTCTAAAAAATGGTGTAGATATAGAAGATATATATAGATATATACATAGAAGTGTAAAGATAGAAAAATATGGCAACCCTGTGAAAATACCTCTGTTGTTACGATATCATAACAACATAGTTACCAATGTTAATTGATTTAAACCGCTAAGGCAATATGCAATTAATTGGAAAGGTCAATTGAATAGAATTTTGAAACCAAAATTTTGGATTATTCAAACTTTTATTTGCCAGTCTTTTCTTTTATTGTGTTTTTGATATTAACATTCCTCTGTCATGACCTGTTTGTGTGTCAATATAGTATAGCCACAAACCATTTGCTCAGAATGCATTTTGTCTAGTCTTTACCATTTTAGATCTTTGTTTAGATCTTTTCTAAAAATTGGCATTTCTACGTCATAATGAGTTCTAGCTTCTGTGGCA